CTTGCAAGTCCGGATTGTCGCTTGGCAGTGACAGGTCGCTTCGGGGGTGGGGTGGTTCTGCAGCTGCTGGTTTTTTTGGACAGGCCCTGGTGACTTGGAGGGGGAGTGGGGCGCTCTGGATGACCTGGCTTCGCTTTTCTGCTTCTGCCCCCCCCCCCGGACCCCCCCCCCCCACTTCTGCAAACAGTTGGCCTGCAGGGCTTTGAGGATCAGGCGGGGTTTGATAGAAACTTTTTAGGGTGCTCCTCTTCTCTAGCGCATTGCAATTTTGCAGAGTTCGCAATTGCAGCTAACGACAGCTCCAGGGGAACTGTTTTTCCCTGCCTTCAAAACGAGACCAGCCCCCGCTCAGGTTTTGCAAGGAAATCGGATCTCCCCCTTCCAATGCTCTCTCTAAGCTGTGGAGTCTTGTGAGCAAAAAAATCTACTTTGTGAGGTACCCTGGTTAAAGTTGTGAGCGAGCGATTTGGCCGCTGCATAAATTAGTTTGCTCTAGAGCCACCTTTCCTGAGCTAGGACAAAAATGTGTGAGATGGAGGCTAAAAAACTGTGAGCTACCTCACACTAATTCAGTTAGGCGGGACACTGCCCCAATTTGGCCCATATGCTGTCTTCAGTGCGTGGCCTGGTTACCATGACCCACCGCGAAGGGAGTCCTTCTGCACGGGCAGAATAGTCCCTTTTATGACTTATTATGTAGTCCCACGACTGAGGATTCCAAAGCATTTCAAAAAGTGCTCTTTGTGCATGCCCCACAGACCTCTTGCTATGACATTGCTGGTGCCAGAATTGACTGCCAAAATATGTGGGCTGTGCTCCCTAAGTGAGTTACAAAGGTGTGGGGGGGTCTGTCTTAGCAGAATGGCTGCAAGAAAAGGCTGCATTGTCTCTCTGTGTTGAGGGTACTGGAGGTCCTGCAGGATCGGTGCCAAAGACAAACATCTCTGGTATGTGCATGTGCATTCAAGAAGGTTCCCAGAATGATGGGATTGTTAGAGACTGCATAAGTAGCGAATTGCAAATGGGAAAGGGTTGGTATTCTCCCTGCCTCCATAGATTCATGTAAAAGCATATATATATAGAAGTCTCACATGCAGAATGTTTTTGCCGGGATATACATTAGATCTCCAGCTCTTCCCTGCAGCCTTGCCTGGAAACCGTGCATGGATAATTTTAGTCTTTGCAAAGCATTGTGTCTCCAGGGTATTCGGAATGCTTTGTGTGCACTCTAGCGACGCCGTTGTGAGGTAGGCCAGCCCTGTTACAGCATTGTTGAAGGGGGGGGGAGGCCGGTTGAACGAGACTAGAATGTTTCTGAGTGAGTTCACTGTAGGCGTAAAACCTGGTTCAAGGGCTCATGCCTGCTTGGAGCACATGCGCTTAACCATTACATCGACTCACAGTTGTAGTGTTGGAGGGTGAAGTGTGCACTGATATTATTCATGACTGCACTGATAGGGAGCTGGGGGGGGGGAGAAATGTATCCTCTGCTGTGTCTTGAGCGTCAAGAGTAGTGCTTATTCAAGAGTGTTAGAATTCCATGCGCAGGTATGCGCTTGCTTGGCACCCATTCCGCAGCCTCTGCACCAAAGTCCCTCCCCAACTCTGGTGCTTTAACTAGTTACTTTGACTTCTGTGGCAGGGTCCCAGTGATATGTGCCCCCCCTTCTGTTTCTGCTCCGTAGAAGTTATTTGTGAGATAAATTTGGAGTTAGTACCGAGCTGATCCCTTTGGGGCCCATGTTTGGTAAAACCTGGGCTAAGTCTGAGAGAGGCTTTGACTTAGCGTTTGAGAAAGTAGGTATGTAGCTTTTCGTTGGCTGCTTCAAACGCACAACAGAAATCAAACACTCCGATCATTCTATTTGGAAATATTTCTGCCTAAGCATCTGAGTTGGCTAAAGCAATGACAATAAAGAAATGCCGTATAGGTTTTAAAAAATGATCAGATAACTCAGGACTCGATGAATCCCAGGTGCTGGGTCGCCATGATGCCTAGAAATTTCATTCGTGTCTTAAGCAATGATTTCATTGCAGTTTCTCTTTGTGGTTTCCAGAAGAAGTAAAGATTTATTTAACGTCAGATTATGTTTTGCTGTGTGACCTAGAACTATATGTTCATGACCTTCTTCTTGTGCCTTGTTGATGTTAACCTTACGTCATTCAGTGGTGGTAGATAAATTAATTTCTTAACCAGTTGCTTTCTAGACTGGCTCCGATATTAAAATAACAGAGCTTTTTAACGCAATAATGAAGTTATGATAAATTGGGGAGAAAGTTAGGTTAGGGTTAGTTAGATGTTATCTTTTTGGCCTTTCCAGGTTGTTTCCAAGGGCAGCCCCACATCAAGTACATTGCAGTAATCTAGCCTTGAGGTTCCGGTGGCATGATCAGCTTGTTTGCTTGTTGGTTCAGTGTAACCCCAAATGTGATCTCCCTGCCCTCTTCAAGGTTCCTTGATGCCACTTATTTTTTTTATTTTTTTTACCCTGCATTGTCCCACCAAACAAGGAGGGTTGGGCAACTCTTTCTTATGCATCTCTTGAATGCTTTCTGGTATGGAGGATGTAGCACACAGTGAGGAAGATGAGTCCCAAAATGTCAGGTGATTATTGTTCTTGGTTAAGAACTTTTTTAAAAAACGGGCTCTTCATCATGAATGTCTGGTAATAAGTATACCCAGGCCGGCAGACAAGGGAACTTTTTTTGTGGACTGGTAACTTGTGCAAACATATTTGCAAGGATCTGTTTATCTGCTGCATGATAAAGTGAGTCTTGTCAAAGGCCGGAGCATCAAAAGGCCTTTTTGTTTTGGTGACCTGTGGCATTTAGAAGCCCGCTAGGATGGAGGCCACAAAGCTCCCAAAGGCTCTGTGCTTTTTGGTCGGCTAAACCGTGATTCCCCTAGCTACCCTATTGATTGGTTGGGGGGCGGGCAGGATCCCTGGGGGGGGCAGGATTTTAGATCCTGGTTGTTTTGTTTTGGTCTCTGTGTCATGCCCGGCTTGCGCCAGCAAGTATTCAGAGAAGCGTCAGCTGGGAGTAAATCTCCTTGTGCTAATTATAGCTTTCCTTCACCCAGCCGGACTCCGTTTTTTGTTTTTTTTGAGGGGGGGAGATATAGAAAAGGGAGGAAGCTGCAGTTCTGTAAAACCATGCTAGCTTATTGCAGTGTTCGTTTGCAGGCTTGGAAGCAGAAGGTG